GGGGTATATATATATATATTTAATAAAATCAGTTGATTAGAGGAAAACATTTTCCTGTTGTTCAATTTGGGAAAAAATAAAACACATTTCATAGGGCCCTACATAATATGGATGTCAATGGCTACCAGCAACTGACTGGTTACCAATTTTAATTTTTAGGTGAACTGTTCCTTTAAGCTGTGATTAGAGCAGCTTTTCACAACTATGCTGCCGTTTCCTAAGTGTTATGAAAGTTGTATTGTTTTGCTGAGTCACCTGTATTGTTTATGATGCAGACGTTATCGACAGTGCCTGACAGCAGTGCAGACAGGATGGAGACAGTGTGCTTAAAATAGCTGTTTTAACATCTCCGTTGCCCTCGTTTCAGAGCAGCATTATTAACTGATTTGAGGTACTTATTAATCCGTAGGAGCTCTTTAATATCTGCCTAACCACTGTGTGTGTTTGTGTGTGTGAACAGTTGATCATGTGGTTTCTGAACCCGGGACGAGTCTGATGTCAGCCTTCAATCAGTGGCGGGAATGGGCGGACAGCAAAGCGTGCTGTGACTATTCTCTTCACGTGGACATCACCGAATGGCACAAGGGTGTTCAAGAGGAGATGGAGGCACTCGTCAAAGATCACGGTAAACCACTGTCAACATCTGTATCTGCTGTACAGTACAAGCCCAGCAGAGCTGGCGAATACTGCATCGCTCAGGAATTCTGCTGCAATTTCACTGATGTATCACGGACTCCTTCATTGCCCTCTCTGATTTCATCCCCCGGCTTTTGTGTGCAGGCGTTAACTCTTTCCTCGTCTACTTGGCTTACAAAGACGTTTTCCAGCTCACTGATTCCCAGGTATGGCTTCCTCCATGCGTTCTACCTACTTTAGCCTCATGAAACCTGTCAAAAACACACCCAGGTCATATTTAACCACAAAATAAAAAAGAGAAAAATAAAAATGATGAAAATCAAGCCTGTTTTTTGGAACAATAATGCAACATATTTGAATAGTCCTTAAATATACTTTATATATTTATATACAAATAAATATATTTTATAAATATTTACATTTTATATATATTTTGGTTACACTTTATTTTAAGGTGTCCTTGTTACAGTGTAATTATACATTTAAATACTGAAGAATATTAATTAACTACATGTACTTACTTTATGGTTAGGGTTAGAATTAGGGTTTGTCTTAGGGTTACCTACATTGTGCATAATTTATTGTTATTATAATAGTAAGTACATGTAACGTGCAAAACAAGGACACCGTAAAATAAAGTGTTACCTATGCATTTTTTATTTTGCGATTTAATGTGACTTTGCCTGCCTATGCACCTACAAAATATCATGGTATTACCATGGTTTTAGACATGCACCATCGTATTTTTAAGTACATTCATTCATTCATTCAGGCACGTGCACAGGTAGGGCTCAACCTGTGCAGAGCACATGCCCTTTTTGCCCTTACACTCTGAAGTGCTCTATTTTTGGTGATGGTGTTTTTTTTTTCTCCCTTTTTCAGTTTCAGCACATGCCCCTCAAAAGTTTCTGTGCACGGCCCTGCATTCATTCAGTGACCGTTGCATCTGTTTTAAGCATGATTCGCCATTTGCCATTGCTTTCTGAGTGTCAGCATTTGTGTGACTTCAATTGTGTTTATGTGCAGATCTACGAAGTGTTCAGTGTCATCCGGGACCTCGGGGCCATCGCTCAGGTCCATGCTGAGAACGGAGACATCATAGCCGAGGTGAGATCTTCAGAGAGGCTGCACCGTCCAGCACTGAGCTCCATTACTCAGAGTTACTATCAACAATAAACTGTTTGGAGATGTTAAATCAAAACATATGCTCCACAACGAACGCTCAGACTTTATACTGGCAAGCAAAACCGAAGCAAATATTCCTACGTGAGGCTGATGTAATTAATTGCAGATTACTTTTGGCTAACGGTTATGTGTATTTATCATGCTCAAGATAAGCAAACTCTTTGTAATGAAGACATTTTTAATATGTACAGTATATATTGAGACTATGACATCATTATTGAAAGATTCAGCGATCTCCTGCTACTCGTATCATCCCATCCTGCTCGTTTTCTGTCTTTCTTTCAACAGGAGCAGTGCAGGATTTTGGAGTTGGGTATCACTGGACCAGAGGGACATGTCCTCAGTCGTCCAGAGGAGGTGAATGGCAGGGAATTCTGGGAAAAGTTGTCCATTTTCCCATGTTTTCCCAAGAAAACGTGTGCTGATTTGGCTTTATCGTTCATTTAGGTGGAGGCGGAGGCAGTGAACCGCTCTGTAACAGTGGCCAATCAGACCAACTGCCCTCTTTACATCACCAAAGTGATGAGCAAGAGTGCCGCTGATGTCATCGCCCAGGCCAGGAAGAAAGGTGAGACCCAACTCCATTTTCAATATGGTGAGACTTCAGTGAATCCAAACCTAGTGGAAACATTCAAGGTTGAATTACCACCATGGAAGAACGTTCTGAGGTGGTTTGATCTAATTCCATTCAAATGAGGCATTATTATTATTACGTCTGGACAAGCAAGGCAGGTTTTATGAACTGGGATGCATTGCAGTCCTGCAAAAAAATTATAATAATACAGCATCTATGACTCGATGATGTTCTTGGCTAGACGGCAAGAAATGACATCATGGTGGTCGGGCTCTAGAAACAGGGCAAGGGAATTACAGTGAAATTATATATACCTATTCCTAATTCGGTATCTTTGAACCATTTAGGCACCGTTGTGTATGGAGAGCCAATCACAGCAAGTCTTGGTACGGACGGCTCGCACTATTGGAGCAAGAACTGGGCCAAGGCCGCCGCCTACGTCACGTCTCCACCCTTGAGTCCGGATCCCACCACACCGGACTATCTCAACTCACTGCTGTCATGGTAGTATGCTGTTTATTTGTAGCATGCATTACTGATTTGATTTTCTACAGTGGTTGAGCCCTGTAATAAGGGAACCATAAGAAATGAAACTGGTTCATTTGTGGGGTCTGAGAGCGGTTCATTAAAAAAAAAAAAGTGGCCAATGTGTGTATGTTCCATATTACCTCAAATGACTTTAAAGTGAACTGAAGGGCTGACTTTAAGTTTAGGAGTTGACTTGAAGTCTGCAGTATAGTTGATTTTTTTAAAGATGTGTTAAGTAAAAATAATAATAAAAGTATTATTATCACAAATTAACTACAAAGTGAAAAATTAATGATTAAATTGAAGAAATTGTTGTTTTGTTTTTGTTTTTATTAGCAATATAACAATTATTATTACATATGATATTTATTACATACATTATATTTATAATATAATGTGTATTATTAATATTATTATATTAATAATTATTATAGTATTTTATTACAAAATAAATTTATTACAAAATAATATTCCACTTGAAGCAAAAAAAGTATTTTAGTATGTATATTTGTTAGCAATATTAATTATAACAATTATTATTATTAAGTATACAATTTAACACGCAAAATATATTACAAAATAATATTCTAAGTGAAGAATTAATGATTAAATTAATTAAATAGATTGATGAAATTATTGTTTTGTTTTTTATTAGCAACATAACTATTATTATTATCATCATTATCATTAATATTGTTATTATTATTACATATGATATTTATTATATACACTGTATTTATTATATATAATACAGTATTCATATTATTAATTGTATTTAATGATTATTATAGTATTTTATTACAAAGCAAATTAACTACAAAATAAAATTATTGTATTTTTGTATGTATTTATATTAACAATATTAATTATAACAATTATTATTATTATTAGTAGTAGTAGTAGTAGTAGTATTAGTATTAATTGAAAGGCAATAATAATAATAATAATACATTCTATTAATAATTGTTATATGATCGTAATATTTTTTAGTATTTAATTTAATGTTATCAATTTAATAGTGCAAATAATTATGATACTACTACTACTACTAATAGCAATATCCAGATATCCAATGGAATATCCAAAATATAATATTAAATAATTTAATAAATACCCATTATTATTATTATTATTATTTACAATAACAACAATGAAAGTATTATTATTATTAATATTATTAAATCTGAGGCACTTTTAGGGCCAAAAACTGTGAGAATTAAAAAAGTGGGATTTTAGAACATGTTTGCTCTTAGATTATTTCATTTAAAGAGGACACACTTGTGAAAAGGGTTCGCTAAGTGGATAAATATAAATGTTTGTAGAATAGACTCAATTGTTAGACTCAAATCTCCTCACCCACTTCTTGCTTCAGTGGAGAGCTGCAGGTAACAGGAAGCGCTCACTGCACCTTTAACACCGCCCAGAGAGCTGTGGGCAAAGACGACTTCACCCTCATCCCTGAAGGAACCAACGGCACTGAAGAAAGGATGTCTATCATCTGGGACAAATGTGTGGTGAGGCAGAAATACTAGTATGCAAATAATAAGGGGAGACATTTAATCACAAGCTGCCACGGTGCAGCATCTACACTTCCTTCAGTCATATAAACAAAATCAGTCAGTGGCCATGTGAGTCTAAATAGTCCCAGCCGAACAGACAAGCACACTCAAGTGAACACAAACACAACCGACACAAACTCATCTCTCCCTGTGGTCCCCCTCCTTCGTAGGTAACTGGAAAAATGGACGAAAATCAGTTTGTGGGCGTCACCAGCACCAACGCCGCTAAGATCTTCAACTTGTACCCGCGCAAGGGCCGCATCGCCGTGGGTTCAGACGCCGATCTGGTTCTGTGGGACCCTGATGTCACGAAGATCATCTCAGCGAAGAGCCACAACCTGGTGAGTTAGTGTGCAAGATTCATTGGTGTTTATGTGATTTCCATCCCTCAGTGTAGTTACCATTGAGGAAAGTTGTGTTCTTGTGAAGGTGGTATGCAGTCCTGACCAGAGAACTCTGGTTGTTCTGACCGAATGTTGGGTGTGGGTTATGTTACTCATGCGAGTGATGTAATTCTCAGCTCTGCTGGGTAATTGATGTCTCCCTCCTGCTTTGGAGGCGTAACAGTGCACACAACACATAACCACGAGGATCTCTTTTTTTAATGTCTTCTCTTTGTGTTTGTGAGATTATAACACACTGGCTTTTCGAAAGTTGTGCTCTTTTGTTTGGTGGATTTTGTTTAACTACATGTCTAAAGATTAGTTTAGAAGCAAAAGTGTGTTAGATAAATATTGTAAATAGTGTATTAATACAATATAAATATTAAAGAGATGGTTCACCCAAAACTTCTGTCATTAATTACTCACCCTCATGTTGTTCTAAACCCGTAAGACTTTCATTCATCTTCAGAACACAAATTAAGATATTTTTTCTTTCTGACCCTCCATATACAGCAATATAACTACCACATTCAAGACCCAGAAAGCAGGCAAGGACATCGTTAAAATAATCCATGTGACGTCAGCAGTTCACCCTTAATCTTATGAAGCCACATGGACTATTTTAACAATGTCCTTACAACCTTTCTGAACCTTGAACATTTCAGTTGCATTGCTGTCTATGCAAAGTCAGAAAGCTCTCAGATTTCATCAAAAATATCTTAATTTGTGACAAAGATGAACGGAGGTCTTGCGGGTTTGGAACGACATGAGGGTGAGTAATTAATGACAGAATTTTCATTTTGGGTGAACCATCCCCAAATATCTTAAAGGAATAATGTAAATAATACCTGTAATGTATATACAAATCATTTGTATATACACATTACAGGTATTATTTACATTTATAATTAATAATAGCATTAATAATTCATTCATATATGTAATTTATAGTTTCATATATTTCTTAAGCTGTTTAGATTTAATATTAATAATCAATTTACAATAAGTAATTTAATGTATAATAATGAATAATATAAAATATACTTGTTTTTTTTAAATATGTCTGGAAAATATATATCTAGGCTTTTTTAAATCACATATACAAATAGTTTTGTCCCCTTAATTTTAAGCGTATTATGCCAAGACAAGAAAAAATGGTTTTGCAATGAATACATTTTTTTTATTTATTTAAGATATAATCACTGAAAATACACTACTGTTCAAAAGTGTGAGGTCACTTAGAGTTTTTGAAAGAAACTTTTACTTTTATTAAGCAAGGATGCATTAAATGGATCAAAAGTGGCAGTAAATATTTGTACATCGTTACAAAAGAATATATCACTGTGTCCACTAAAATATTCAGCAACAACAGCAAAACAATGCTTTCAACATTGATAATAATAAGAAATGTTTCTTGAACGGCAAATCAGCATATTAGAATGATTTCTGAAGGATCATGTGACACTGAAGACTGGAGGAATGATGCTGAAAATTCTATTAAATAAAAAGAATTGAATTAGAAAATAGTTTATAATATTTCACAATATTACTTTTTTTACAAAAGTATTTTTTATCAAATAAACAGCCTTGGTGAGCATGAGAAACTTCTATGTCTTAATATTTACGCAATTATGCTTCTCAAGTAAATTTATATTGTTTATTTTGTTTTACAAATATCTAGAAAATTTTCCAGGGAAACAAAACAAAAGTCCTGATTAAGAAAACTTTTTTTTTTTATTCAGAACTGTGGTGTCGGAGTGTTAGCATGTGTGTGTTGATTATCAGACTCTGATGCTGTTTTTAGGTCTTGTGGGACGAACTGTATTGCTTTAAGCAAAGCGCCAGTAGCATTTAGAAGGGTGGTCACACTTTTGCCAGCACACACACACACCCTGTAAACTTTAATATACTTCCTCCCTCATTCGCTCCCTCTCATTTCCAACATTCCTTGTTTTCTTTGCACTGTATTTCTAAACTGGTCTGGGTTCTGACAACTTGTATTTGACATATTGTTTAAATAGCTGTCTGAAAGGATCAATAATGATTTCCGACATGGAACATCACTTCCATTTCCACTGGAACATCGTGCTTCAGTATGTGGATTGTTTGTGCAATGATTTCTTGCTTCATAACCGTCGGAAGCTTCTAAAATGCTACATGTTGGAAAAGTTTGTAAATCAGTAGAAGGTTCTTGTTCTGTGTTGTTAGTGTGATGTTGTTGCTTCTTGTTTTCCAGGCAGTGGAGTACAACATCTTCGAGGGCATTGAGGTGCGTGGGGCGCCTCTGGTGGTCATCAGCCAGGGAAAGATTGTGCTGGAGGATGGGAACCTCCACACCACCGAGGGATCCGGCCGCTACGTGACCCGCAAACCCTTCCCTGACTATGTCTACAAGAGGATAAAGGCTCGCAGCAGGGTGAGTTATAGATTCAGCTTACTTTATTTTATCAGCTTTTCTAATCTGAAATTTATGGATAAACAATCTATTAGTGACCATATTCAGTTATTATTACTAGTATTATTATCAGATTGTTTTGAATATTACAACATAATTTGTATAGAATGCTATTATTAGTATTTTTTTTATTTGTTTTAGTGAAGAATATTACATTTAATATATAAATAGTGCCGTGGAAAGGTTTTTGCCCCCTTCCTGTTTCTTTTTATTTTTGGCATATTTGTCACACTTAAAAGATTCAGATCATCAAACAAATTTTAATATTACTCAAAGATAACCCGAATAAATACAAAATGCAGTTTTGAAATAATGATTTCATTTATTAAAGGAAATTTATTATTTCATTGATGTTGCTAAAAAGAACATTATTTTGTGTATTTGGTGTAATGAAATGTGTTTATGCGGTTTAAGGTTCAAAAAATACATTATTTTCCACATACTGTACATTATTGTTTCTCCTCTATGCCCCGCCTTTCTGAAAGGCATCGATTTTTACAAAGCTCATCGTTCTGAAAAGTGAGGTGTGCTGTGATTTGCCAGCTATCCAGTGCTTTGTGATTGGCCGAATACCTCAAGTGTGTGACAGAAATGATGCGCCCCTACCATACTGTGATGCCGTCTCATCGCGCCGTATTGCATCGCACCGCATAAACATAAAACCATGTCTGCATTTGTGATCGGAGAAATTACAAACAACAAGTGCTACTCTACACTGCTCAAAACTCGTGTTTGAATCATCAGTGGCAAATCCTTTAAATGAAAACATACTTACAGACTGTGAGTCAAAACAGCCGGCATTGTAGTCTACTCTTCCAGGATCAGGAAACAGTCCTCCATAAAATGCACTGCACACATCTGAATATTTGGGTTGAACTGTTCTGGAACAGTGTGGTAAATACAACTTAACCACTGATTTCTAGTCGTCGTTAAAATAATCCATGTGACGTCAGCAGTTCACCCTTAATCTTATGAAGCCACATGGACTATTTTAACAATGTCCTTACAACCTTTCTGAACCTTGAACATTTCAGTTGCATTGCTGTCTATGCAAAGTCAGAAAGCTCTCAGATTTCATCAAAAATATCTTAATTTGTGACAAAGATGAACGGAGGTCTTGCGGGTTTGGAACGACATGAGGGTGAGTAATTAATGACAGAATTTTCATTTTGGGTGAACCATCCCCAAATATCTTAAAGGAATAATGTAAATAATACCTGTAATGTATATACAAATCATTTGTATATACACATTACAGGTATTATTTACATTTATAATTAATAATAGCATTAATAATTCATTCATATATGTAATTTATAGTTTCATATATTTCTTAAGCTGTTTAGATTTAATATTAATAATCAATTTACAATAAGTAATTTAATGTATAATAATGAATAATATAAAATATACTTGTTTTTTTTAAATATGTCTGGAAAATATATATCTAGGCTTTTTTAAATCACATATACAAATAGTTTTGTCCCCTTAATTTTAAGCGTATTATGCCAAGACAAGAAAAAATGGTTTTGCAATGAATACATTTTTTTTATTTATTTAAGATATAATCACTGAAAATACACTACTGTTCAAAAGTGTGAGGTCACTTAGAGTTTTTAAAAGAAACTTTTACTTTTATTAAGCAAGGATGCATTAAATGGATCAAAAGTGGCAGTAAATATTTGTACATCGTTACAAAAGAATATATCACTGTGTCCACTAAAATATTCAGCAACAACAGCAAAACAATGCTTTCAACATTGATAATAATAAGAAATGTTTCTTGAACGGCAAATCAGCATATTAGAATGATTTCTGAAGGATCATGTGACACTGAAGACTGGAGGAATGATGCTGAAAATTCTATTAAATAAAAAGAATTGAATTAGAAAATAGTTTATAATATTTCACAATATTACTTTTTTTACAAAAGTATTTTTTATCAAATAAACAGCCTTGGTGAGCATGAGAAACTTCTATGTCTTAATATTTACGCAATTATGCTTCTCAAGTAAATTTATATTGTTTATTTTGTTTTACAAATATCTAGAAAATTTTCCAGGGAAACAAAACAAAAGTCCTGATTAAGAAAACTTTTTTTTTTTTATTCAGAACTGTGGTGTCGGAGTGTTAGCATGTGTGTGTTGATTATCAGACTCTGATGCTGTTTTTAGGTCTTGTGGGACGAACTGTATTGCTTTAAGCAAAGCGCCAGTAGCATTTAGAAGGGTGGTCACACTTTTGCCAGCACACACACACACCCTGTAAACTTTAATATACTTCCTCCCTCATTCGCTCCCTCTCATTTCCAACATTCCTTGTTTTCTTTGCACTGTATTTCTAAACTGGTCTGGGTTCTGACAACTTGTATTTGACATATTGTTTAAATAGCTGTCTGAAAGGATCAATAATGATTTCCGACATGGAACATCACTTCCATTTCCACTGGAACATCGTGCTTCAGTATGTGGATTGTTTGTGCAATGATTTCTTGCTTCATAACCGTCGGAAGCTTCTAAAATGCTACATGTTGGAAAAGTTTGTAAATCAGTAGAAGGTTCTTGTTCTGTGTTGTTAGTGTGATGTTGTTGCTTCTTGTTTTCCAGGCAGTGGAGTACAACATCTTCGAGGGCATTGAGGTGCGTGGGGCGCCTCTGGTGGTCATCAGCCAGGGAAAGATTGTGCTGGAGGATGGGAACCTCCACACCACCGAGGGATCCGGCCGCTACGTGACCCGCAAACCCTTCCCTGACTATGTCTACAAGAGGATAAAGGCTCGCAGCAGGGTGAGTTATAGATTCAGCTTACTTTATTTTATCAGCTTTTCTAATCTGAAATTTATGGATAAACAATCTATTAGTGACCATATTCAGTTATTATTACTAGTATTATTATCAGATTGTTTTGAATATTACAACATAATTTGTATAGAATGCTATTATTAGTATTTTTTTTATTTGTTTTAGTGAAGAATATTACATTTAATATATAAATAGTGCCGTGGAAAGGTTTTTGCCCCCTTCCTGTTTCTTTTTATTTTTGGCATATTTGTCACACTTAAAAGATTCAGATCATCAAACAAATTTTAATATTACTCAAAGATAACCCGAATAAATACAAAATGCAGTTTTGAAATAATGATTTCATTTATTAAAGGAAATTTATTATTTCATTGATGTTGCTAAAAAGAACATTATTTTGTGTATTTGGTGTAATGAAATGTGTTTATGCGGTTTAAGGTTCAAAAAATACATTATTTTCCACATACTGTACATTATTGTTTCTCCTCTATGCCCCGCCTTTCTGAAAGGCATCGATTTTTACAAAGCTCATCGTTCTGAAAAGTGAGGTGTGCTGTGATTTGCCAGCTATCCAGTGCTTTGTGATTGGCCGAATACCTCAAGTGTGTGACAGAAATGATGCGCCCCTACCATACTGTGATGCCGTCTCATCGCGCCGTATTGCATCGCACCGCATAAACATAAAACCATGTCTGCATTTGTGATCGGAGAAATTACAAACAACAAGTGCTACTCTACACTGCTCAAAACTCGTGTTTGAATCATCAGTGGCAAATCCTTTAAATGAAAACATACTTACAGACTGTGAGTCAAAACAGCCGGCATTGTAGTCTACTCTTCCAGGATCAGGAAACAGTCCTCCATAAAATGCACTGCACACATCAACATTGATAATAATAAGAAATGTTTCTTGAACGGCAAATCAGCATATTAGAATGATTTCTGAAGGATCATGTGACACTGAAGACTGGAGGAATGATGCTGAAAATTCTATTAAATAAAAAGAATTGAATTAGAAAATAGTTTATAATATTTCACAATATTACTTTTTTTACAAAAGTATTTTTTATCAAATAAACAGCCTTGGTGAGCATGAGAAACTTCTATGTCTTAATATTTACGCAATTATGCTTCTCAAGTAAATTTATATTGTTTATTTTGTTTTACAAATATCTAGAAAATTTTCCAGGGAAACAAAACAAAAGTCCTGATTAAGAAAACTTTTTTTTTTTATTCAGAACTGTGGTGTCGGAGTGTTAGCATGTGTGTGTTGATTATCAGACTCTGATGCTGTTTTTAGGTCTTGTGGGACGAACTGTATTGCTTTAAGCAAAGCGCCAGTAGCATTTAGAAGGGTGGTCACACTTTTGCCAGCACACACACACACCCTGTAAACTTTAATATACTTCCTCCCTCATTCGCTCCCTCTCATTTCCAACATTCCTTGTTTTCTTTGCACTGTATTTCTAAACTGGTCTGGGTTCTGACAACTTGTATTTGACATATTGTTTAAATAGCTGTCTGAAAGGATCAATAATGATTTCCGACATGGAACATCACTTCCATTTCCACTGGAACATCGTGCTTCAGTATGTGGATTGTTTGTGCAATGATTTCTTGCTTCATAACCGTCGGAAGCTTCTAAAATGCTACATGTTGGAAAAGTTTGTAAATCAGTAGAAGGTTCTTGTTCTGTGTTGTTAGTGTGATGTTGTTGCTTCTTGTTTTCCAGGCAGTGGAGTACAACATCTTCGAGGGCATTGAGGTGCGTGGGGCGCCTCTGGTGGTCATCAGCCAGGGAAAGATTGTGCTGGAGGATGGGAACCTCCACACCACCGAGGGATCCGGCCGCTACGTGACCCGCAAACCCTTCCCTGACTATGTCTACAAGAGGATAAAGGCTCGCAGCAGGGTGAGTTATAGATTCAGCTTACTTTATTTTATCAGCTTTTCTAATCTGAAATTTATGGATAAACAATCTATTAGTGACCATATTCAGTTATTATTACTAGTATTATTATCAGATTGTTTTGAATATTACAACATAATTTGTATAGAATGCTATTATTAGTATTTTTTTTATTTGTTTTAGTGAAGAATATTACATTTAATATATAAATAGTGCCGTGGAAAGGTTTTTGCCCCCTTCCTGTTTCTTTTTATTTTTGGCATATTTGTCACACTTAAAAGATTCAGATCATCAAACAAATTTTAATATTACTCAAAGATAACCCGAATAAATACAAAATGCAGTTTTGAAATAATGATTTCATTTATTAAAGGAAATTTATTATTTCATTGATGTTGCTAAAAAGAACATTATTTTGTGTATTTGGTGTAATGAAATGTGTTTATGCGGTTTAAGGTTCAAAAAATACATTATTTTCCACATACTGTACATTATTGTTTCTCCTCTATGCCCCGCCTTTCTGAAAGGCATCGATTTTTACAAAGCTCATCGTTCTGAAAAGTGAGGTGTGCTGTGATTTGCCAGCTATCCAGTGCTTTGTGATTGGCCGAATACCTCAAGTGTGTGACAGAAATGATGCGCCCCTACCATACTGTGATGCCGTCTCATCGCGCCGTATTGCATCGCACCGCATAAACATAAAACCATGTCTGCATTTGTGATCGGAGAAATTACAAACAACAAGTGCTACTCTACACTGCTCAAAACTCGTGTTTGAATCATCAGTGGCAAATCCTTTAAATGAAAACATACTTACAGACTGTGAGTCAAAACAGCCGGCATTGTAGTCTACTCTTCCAGGATCAGGAAACAGTCCTCCATAAAATGCACTGCACACATCTGAATATTTGGGTTGAACTGTTCTGGAACAGTGTGGTAAATACAACTTAACCACTGATTTCTAGTCGTGTCCTCTTTTGGAAGGCCAAACAAATTAGTTTCGCTTTCACAACGAAACACACGGCGGGCTTGAGTGAGCGGCGGCGGGTGGGCTTGAGAACGGCACGGCCGGCGGATTCGACGAAGGAGCGGCCGGCAGTCTTGCAGCAACCACATGTGACGACCCCGGACTGGACTCCGCTTCGTCCACGGTGAAAGCCGATCCGGCGATCCACAGCTGGCAATGAGTTTTTTACATCGCTGAATTGTTTTAATTCAGCCACATTGGAGGGTTTTCGAGCATGAATGGACTGTTTGGTCATGCCACAGCTTCTCAATTGGATTTAAGTCCGGACTTTGATTTGGCCACTCCAAAACCTTAATTTAGTTTTTCTTGAGCCATTCAGAGGTGGACTTGCTGGTGTGTTTGGGATCATTGTCCTGCTGCATAACCCAAGTGTGCTTGAGCTTGAGGTCACAAACTGACGGCCGGACATTCTCCTTCAGGATTTCATGGTTCCGTCAGTTATGGCAAGTCGTCCAGGTCCTGAAGCTGCAAAGTAGCCCCAGACCATCACACTACCACCACCATGTTTGACTGTTGGTATGATATTCTTTTTGTGAAATGCTGTGTTGGTTTTACACCAGATGTAACGGGACACACACCTTCCAAAAAGTTCAATTTTGTCTCATCAGTCCACAGAATATTTGCCCAAAAGTCTTGGGGATAATCAAGATATTTTTGGGCAAATGTGAGACGAGCCTTTGTGTTCTTTTTGGTCAGCA